TAGCATCTCCAATTGGTACACCCATTCTGAAAGGCCTTCCGCTAATCTGAAACTGTTTCTCCTACTTCTCTAATACTGCCCCGCAGACCCGATGATAACATAGAAAATTCCCCAAGTATTCTTCACACTTTGCTACAAAATCCTGGTCTTCAGTCATATAACGAGCCTAAAAGTCCTTAGACACCGCTCTTACATCCTTGAACCCATTAGAACCATTGTTGAGAGTCACCCACTCTAACTTGGTCCCAAATATATAACCCAAACCTAGTGCGATGTTAGCACATGAACACTCCTAAAGGAGCAGCCGGATGAATTCCTTTCCTCGTACATCACATCCACAATAAGCACAAACTCTGATTCTTCCCAAAAACCTACAAATGAATTGATAAGGCGAAATATAGCACACACTCATCAAGTTCTTTGCTCGAATTACCCTGATGTTTTCTTTTCTTAGTTATAAAGAACCCACCAATGCACTGATAACCAGAAACCGCACAAGCCGACAACCATGCAATCCAATCGTAGACAGCAGGCTCTCCCACTTAGCTTTCAGCTACTACCTCATAAATCTAGAACCCTCAAAGATTCCTCCTTCTCAATCACCATGATCTCGCACTGCCAAACCGCCAAATCTCTTGTAGTCTCTTGTTAAACTTTTCTTGAACAGTCTGAATCATTGGCCACAATCGCATTTTGACCTTCTGTTGGGTTGTAAGTAGAGCTCTTCGTAGAAACTTCATCAAAATCACATAATCGCCAACCTTCTCACAGGAGATAGCCCACTTGTGGAATTCCAAACCGACATCTCCCAACGACGCTGCTCGGGGTACAACTACGATGAAATCAGTAAACCCTCCTAAGCACATGCTCATCCACCAATTGTACATGTCTGTTCATTCCCCATTGTCATCAACTGAAAGTCCGACAATACATTCCAAACTCGAAGTCACGTTTTACACCTCTTCATTTCCACCAAACTTCTCTCTGCCATAATCAAGCTTCCTCCATCCAGCAGCCACTATCCCAAATGAAATGCATAGGCTTAGTCATTATCCACCATGATTCCCAAATCGCTCTAAACTTTACTCAAGGCAAGTGGATTTCCTACCACATAATCCATATGCTACTCTGCCACTCTCACTTCGGTTAAACCACCTCCTTTAAGAAACTTCTCGACCTCTGCTCTTTATACTTGACCTGCTAGTAATTTTACCACCAAGAGACACCTCCCGCCATGTCCTTCCTCATCCTTTGCTTCCCAAGTGTTGCCTCAAATCAAAATCCTTCTCTGTAGCACCTGAACTAATAAATTGCTACCAACTCTAAGACTCCTCGAAGATCATCTTTCTCGATCCATCAAATTTTGAAGCACCTGTTCGATTCTGAAATTGCTACACACCGCCATCTCTGACAACCGCTTCTTAGACACAATTTCACCACACTCTGTCCCGAAGGCAAATCAAAGAAGACCATAACACCGACGAACATTAATACATTCAAACAAGGACAACGACACCATATCACAAATGAAAATTCCACCACGCTCAAAAATATCAAGTCTCGTTACTCCATCAACCAAACCTGAATATCCATAGTCTGATTGCCCTTCCTCCGCTGGAATTAGATGTCGAACCTCTAAACCATGAACTGAGAAATCATCCTTTCGAGTCATTCACTACTGCAATCAATAAATAAACACCCTACCATTACACCAACATTATACGATAACAACGCATGAACATCATAGCAACCTGTGCATAGCCTCAAAACCATAGGGAATACAGATACTGAGCCGAAACGACAGAACATTCTTCCACAAGGTGGCAATAATAGCCCGCCCGAACATGCAGGGAAAAATATTATGCACCACGTCTGCAATACCACTACAACTCCTCGATTCCCAATTGATAGCAAGCGCTTCACGTCGCATAAGATTAAGTAGGAAGGAAATAAAGGCATAAACCTCAAAGGAATCAAATTGCACGATGAGGAATCAAGAAAGGAAGTGCTCCTAACAGCCATGTAGCCTCTCGAAAATAAGTACAGACATCTCTGTACCAATCCGCAAGACTCTATTAGACTTGCTCATGACTCGTGAGACCCAAGTGAACCTAACGCTCTGATACCAAGCTATCACGGTCCAAAAATCACTATAGGCTGAGATAGTGCCCAACGTCGCTGTTAGGCTAGCCAACACTTAATTATTCATCCTTATTACCTTCGAAATCATAAATTTTATTAAGGAAGGAAGTTTACGCTTTTAAATCCACAGAAACGTACATACTTAGTAGTTTATTAAAAGAAATGAGAGGCGATAATAATATATAAATCTGTAAGAATCACTAACATATCCCAAAATCCGGTGTCACGAGTGCATGAGCCTTCACTAAGGAGTACAATAATAATACAGCATCTGTCTAGAATGTAAAGGAAACATAATAAAATAAATAGTACGATGGAGACTCTGTGGACTGCGATGCATAGCCTGGAATGCAGCTCACATAAAGTCTCCTCAACAGCTACGCCTACGGGCCAAGATGGTCACCAAATGAACCTGCCAGATCCTGCACATTTAATGCAGAAGTGCAGTATGAGTACGTAAATCAACGCGTACCCAGTAAGTATCTAGCCTAACCTCTGAGAAGTAGTGACGAGGGGTCTACATCGACACTTACTAAAGGTCCAATAAAAGCAATATGATAAATCATAAGCAGATATGAAGCACCATAATAATAATGGGGTAAAATTGTAGGTTACATAACCTTCCAAAAATTTCTTTTAAAGATATAGATTTCTTCATCTCGTATTCTATCTTAACAGCTCAGATGTATCATGTGCCAGTAACAAATGGATAAGGAAATATCACATAAATTTCTGGGCATCGGTGGAAGGATAATCTCGTGAATATTCGAACTACTAGCGATATAATGCACGATTATGCCGAGGTCGTTCGGCCTGATCCAGAATAATGTGTACACTACCGAGGGTCGAGCGGCACGAACCATAGTTGCATCTATTATACTACCGAGGTGTTCGATCCACTCCACAAGAAAGGAAGGAAATCATCGAATTACGAGACACGTGCTTACAATACAGTACATGAGCACAAAGTGAATACAAACCTTATCATTTCTCAAATAATTTGCCAACAACTCAAGGTAATAAGACTCGGCCTAACATATATGCAAATATTTATAAATCAATTCAATTATAATTTCATTTAATTAAGCTAGAAGGATGGATTCAAGTATTTCAAATATTATATGGTAAAGTCCTAAGTTTACCCTGACATAAACATGCTTTAGCCACGTACGGACTCTCATCACCTTGTACGTACATAGCACCCACAACTATTAGCATATAATAATTACATCACCTAGGGGTAGTTACCCCCTCACAAAGTTAGACAGGAGACTTACCTCGCTCCGAAGTTTCATAACCGGTCCCAAAGCCTCTCTAACACCTCAACTCAAAGCCAAACATTCCGAAACTAATCAAACAAGGTGCAAATCAATCAGAATATACATCAATGCTTACATTTTAACAATTTATAATGATTCCCAACTCCGCTCGAAAAGTTAATAAAGTCAACCCTCGGGTCCACGTGCCCGAATTCAGAAATTTTTCGAAGATAAACTTTATCCATAACATTACGAACTCAAAAATATGATTTATCCCTGATTCCATGTCCAATCTCGTGGTAAAAATCCAAAAAGGCCAATTTCTAGGTTTCTTTCAAAAAATCTCGCAATTTCTACTAATTTCCATGTCTAAATTCACATATAATCCATGTATTTCACTAACATTAGGTGGGAATTACTTACCTTGTAATGGTTGATGAAAATCTCCCCTTGAAGCTCTACAAAAATCGCCCAAGCCAAGAGAGAATAAAAGAAAATGGGCTAAATCCCATATAAAATCAAGTCTGCCCAGCGCTGCCTCGCACATGAGGAACAATAGACACTTTTGTGGCTCCGCACCTGCGGAAATTCCCATCGCAAGTGCAGTTCCCACTAATCCAGCCAAGTTCTCTTTTACGGACAAAATATCCGCTCCTGCGCTCTCTCTTCTGCGGAGTACTGACCGCTCCTGCGGTCTAGCATCAAAGGCCCAGATTCCGCATCTGTGGTGCCTCCCCTTCTTCTGCGCGATGTGCATCTGCGTGCCCGAACTCCACACCTGCGGCCCTTTGCCTAGCTGGCCTCCTTCGCTTTTGTGACGACCTCCTTCGCACCTGCGTGTCCGCACCTGCGGCCAAACCCATCGCAGGTGCGATGGCACCAGACTTCAGCATTTCCTCAAATCCCAATTTTGATCTGATTTCAATCTATTTCAAACCCGAGGCCCCCGAGGCCCCATCCGAACATATCAACACATCCCAAATCATGATACGAACTTAGTCGAAGTCTCAAAACACGTCGAACAACATCAAAATTATGAATCGACGATCGAAACCTTTCTTTAAATCTTTCAAACATTCAAACTTCGCCGAACGCGTCTGAATTATATTTAAACATTCCGGAATGATGCCAAACTTTACGCATAAGTCACAAATCACAATACGAACCTATTTCAAGGCTCATAATCCCAAATGGACATCGATAACATCAAAATCCACATCAAGTCAAACTTAAGAAATTCTTAGACTTTTAAAATGCCAACTTTCCATAATAAGCGCTGAAATACTTCCGAACCACCCGATACTCAACCCGAACATACGTCCAAGTGTTAAATTATGAAATGAACATAGTGGAACCTTCAATTCCAGATTCCAAGGTAGTTTACTCAAAAGTCAAACCTTAATCAATTCTTCCAACTTAAAGTTTTAGAATTTTCCATCTATATCAACTATGAACTTCCCGAGATTCGATTCCGACTATGTGTACAAGTCATAATACCTGAAGTGAAGCTATTCAAGGCCTCAAACCGATGAACGGCGTGCTAGATCTCAAAATGACCAGTTGGGTCATTACAAAACTAATACCTTGTAGACACAAGAGATGTATGAGAAAGGACAAAGATGAACCAAGAAAAAGAAATGGGGAAAAATATCAAAGAAAAGAGCTAAGATGACATGTTCTAACTGCCACCAAATTGGCCACAACAAAAAAAGGTGCAAATCAGGGGTATGTCCTTTTTAATTTTCATTGATCTACTTATTTGTTAACCTTCATCTTCTAACCTTTGTTTTGTTAATTATAGCCTCAAGAAAGACCAAGAACAACAACTGAAGCAACACCAAACAGTCAACCTGCTACTCAACAGTCTAGTAATACTATTGAAGCAATGCCAATGAGACAACCTAGTACCCGACATTCCAGTGTTTTTTCTTCTTTGTGTCAAGATACTACAAGAGTTAGAAATAATATTTCTACTGGGGAGAGGACTAGGAATAGGAGTTGGCAGAGGAAAGGGAAGGGGAACTGGTATAGGAAGGAGAAGGGGGGCTGGTTCTGATTCAACAAGTACAACAGTCACTGCACCTGCTGGATTTGCTACTGCTGCTTCTCTTCATGCTGCTAGTAAATCTGTTTCTGCTGCTGTTGGGAAAAAAAAAAGAGAACTGGGATTTGGCATTTACATAGACACATAACCTGGAAGACAAGTTCTTAATGTAAGCTCTTTCACATTTCTATATGATAGCTATTTCATAAGTTATTAATAGATTGCCTAATAGATATCACTCTAAATTTACAGACCAGAACACTAAGTAAAAAAGTCATCTCTAGTGGGAGGCAATTAAAGAATGCATCACTTACCAATATTAATCTTGGATTCAAGCCACCTAGATTGAAATGGAAGGGAAAAGCTGCTATTACTGGAAACCAACTTCAACAACAAAAAGAGAAGCAAATGAAAAAGAAAAAGCCTCATTAAAGAAGATTTCACTTTATGTAGTTTGTTCAAGTGTTTTGTATGATTTGGTTTTCATGAACTTAAAACTGCAGTTTTAGTTATTTGCTATTAAAGCAATGTTTGAGATATATGTTTGACATTTTATTTTGTGACTATTGCCTTGGTTTGAGCAATGAAATTTGTAGTTTATTCTATAAATTGTATTTGCATTGGTAGAGTTTATTGTACAGTTTGTATTTGTGTCTTTTAGTTGCGGTTGGGGAGAACATTAGTCATGTCAAAATTTTACTGAAATATTAGTCCAAAGGTGGTTCAACTTGTATTCATCTATGTTTCTTATATTGCAACATTCAAAAGAGCTACTAGTTTACATAACTGCCAATACACAAAAGAGCTCCTTCAACCAACTAAATTTCAATATACATAGCAAATATTACATAAGAAACTCTCTAACAATCCAAACGAGTATCACAATCACTAGCAATATTCTATACTTTCTCCTCATCTTCTTCTTTTCTTTGTCGTATTTTTTGATCCTCTTCAAAAATTCCCAAATTACAATCCTAGCTTGTTCAGGAAATTCATCTTCAAACCACTTAAAATATTTACACCCTTCCTATAAAACAATAAGAAAGGTCCATAAAAATGGAGTCTTGGCCAACCAATTTGAAGAAATAAAATAGGCGCAAAAAATAACTTTAAAAATTACTTACTCGACCATATTGGCATCCAAGATACCTACGACCTAGGTTATTTTGTGACCACAAAATCATCAATTCTGCCCTTTTACCACAATGACAATACAAGGTGCCTGCCATTTTTGATAATACTTCGTAATAGAGAAAGAGGGAATATAGAAGTAGGAAAAGGTCGGGGAATAATGGGGAATAATGGGGATTTAGGTTTAGGAATTAGAGAATTGGGATAAATATAAAAGGAATTCATTAAGGGTATAATAGTAATTTTGCAGTTTTTTAACTGTTACAACCAAGAAAAATTTAACCTAACGTGCTGCCCAGCGTTTGTATCTCACTCGAGTTGCCATGTCAGAGACGTGTGTTTACTTGACACAATAAAACCAAACATAAAGTGTCTATATGATCACTTGATAAGTTGGAGTGTGAGATAGACATCTTGGGCCAACTTTAGGTGTCTCTTTATGTTTTTTGCCGATATGATAATATAAATATTTTTACATTATCAATGCATATAACTTAAAACTCTTGTAAATATGATAAGTCATTGTCGATTTTTCGAATAGCTTACTCAACATAGTTTAATATAGAGCAAACTTCATTTGGTCAGCCACTAGAAACTAATATCAGACGCTAGCCACAAAATTACAGTATGCATTTTATAGCCCAAAACTAATTAAAAGGCTAGCCACCGACCCAACTATCACGGAAACATAGTGTTGAGCTGCAGACACGCCGGATACTACAACACATTCTCCGGAAGAATCCCGCCGGAGATAGGGAACTTGTCCGAGCTCGTACGTTTCGATGCTGCTAACTGTGGACTTTCCGGCAACATTCCGTCGGAGATAGGGAAGCTTAAGAAATTGGATACTTTGTTCTTACAAGTGAATTCTCTTTCTGAGCCGCCATCAACCCTTCTCTCTCTCTCTATTTTTCTTCCTTTCTCTTTCAACCTGTCTCTATATATCTATGTGTGGATTGAATTGAATTGATATATGTATAGAGATTTTGGGGGTTTGAAATTAGGGTTTGGGAGAAAAAGGGAAGGAAAATGGGTTCGCGATCGAAGTAAGAGGGGGAAAGAAGGGAGAAAGAGGACTGGAATTGTTTGGTGGGTTTTGGGAGTTGAAATTTTGGAAATTCAAACGTGAATTGTAGTGTCCATTTCTGCTGCAGCTGCTGCCTTCATCCTTCCTTCTTCCAAAAATAGATTTTAGTATTATTTTTGAAGTATTTTGCTTGTTAAATTTTTAATTTTTTGTCTCACAATCTTCACTATACAAAATAAACTGTCACTATATAAAATATATACAAAAATAGACTGTCATTATACAAAACATATACTAAATAGACTGCCACTATTAGGGGTGGGCATAAAATTCGAAAAACCAAATTCCGAACCGAACCGAATTAATTTGATATTTCGATATTTTTCGGTATTTTTCGCTATAGGATTTTCGGTATTTCGGTACGGTATTCTGTATTGAGTTTTTGATATTTCAGCATACCGAAATATTTAAGTCCAAGCTCACCTCTATTTCTATTTTTCAGCCCAATAAGCCTAAGCCCAACACCACAAGCCCCCTAATTCCCTGTGTAAACTTGAATTCTGCTGCTCGTTAGATGCTGGCATACTGCTTGTTAAAAATTTAAAATGATTTCCTTTTAATGAATTCTGCTGCTGGCCTGCTGTTGCAAACTTGCAATTGTAATTGTACTGGTTGCTCATGCTTCCTTATAAACCTTTTGGCCTTCTTGCTTAGATAAAGTGTATTTCCTAAGGCTTACTTCATATGTTATCATTATGGACATAATTGTTTTAAGTTATGAATGATGAGAATTGAGAAAGGAACTTTATTTACATAAAAGAAAATGCAGCAATGCCTTACATTGGAGAAAATGCCGCTTAATATTCTTCTTTAATTGTTTGGTTACACATATTTCATACACAGTACTCATATGTGAAAATGCTTTATACAAACTGCTAGCTTAGCACAGCGTGTCCACTCTCCATTTACATAATCTATTTACGTTTGTAAAATATTTCCTTTTAAAAACACGATTCCGTTAATGTATCAAACCGAAACCGTAACGAAACCTTACCGAACCAAAATAAGAAATATCGAACCGTACCGAACTAGTTGGGTACGGTATTTGGTATACACAATTGATAAACCGAATACCGAAATACCGAACCGAAATTCTTAAATACCGAACCGAAGTACCGAATGCCAACACCTAATCACTGTACAAAATATATACAAAATAGACTGCCACTATATAAAAAATATACAAAATAGACTGTCATTGTACAATTTATATATAATATAATGTCACTATACAAAAAATATACAAAATAGACTGTCACTATACAAAAAATATACTAAATAGACTGTCACTATACAAAAAATATACAAAATAGACTGTCATTATACAATAAATATACAAAATAGACTGTCTCTATACAAAAAATATACAAAATAGACATTTCGGGCTATTAAATGTAATATGTTTGGAGCGGAGGGCCATTTTCTATCAATGGACAAAAATATGGGCTATTAAAATTTTGAGGGGCTACATAGAGTAATTTTCTCTGTAATATACGGCAAATGGCCAAATATATCCCTATACTATGAGAAAATATTTAAATATATTCTTTGTTATATTTTGGGTCCAAATATTTTCCTGCCGTAATGCTATTGGTTCAAATATAACCACTCTGTTAAGTTTATCCAAGGTGGACATCAAACGCTAGTTGACATTGATATTTGATGAGGTGGATGCCATATGACATACCATCTCAACGCCCCTAATCCATATATAAATGATCAAAATTTGAAATATAATATTTTTCTTGGTAGCAGTAATGATGGCAATAGTGACGAAGGTGACGAAAATTTTAGTGGTGGAAAAAAAATAGAAAGGAGGGGTAAAATTGGTTAGGCACGCTGAGGTGGCAAGTCATGTGTCATCTACCTCGTCAAATGTGAGTGCCATGTAGGATTAGATGCTCATTTTTGGACAAATTTAACGGAAAAATGATATATTTTAACTATTAGTATAAAAATAAGATTATATTTGGACTCAAAGTATAAAGAGTCACTTTTAAACATTTTGTGACAGTACATGTATATTACACTTTTCCCTTTAATATATCATTATTCATGTAGTACTAATAATTTATTAATCATACAGTTCACTAAATTTTATCTCAATTCTTCTTCTTAACTGTTCTTCAGCTGCTCTTCTTCCCCTGCAGCTATGCCACACTTCCGGCGTTAGATTCAAAAAAATTAGGCCTCAAATGGAGAAGAGCGGTGGTTCACTGCGGACGCGTTCACAGGTGGCGCCTGACTGGACGTTACATGAGTCACTGACCCTAGTGAACGAAATGAAATCAACCCAAATTGAATGCGGCAATACGCTAGCGTCTTTCCAGAAATGGCAATCAACGGTGCAAAATTGCAACTCGCTGGGCGTGAATCGGAGCCTGAATCAGTGCAAAAGGCGGTGGGAATTTATGTTGGAAAATTACAATAAAGTTAAGCCCTGGGAAACGGCGTACTGGACGACGTCGTTTGATGGGGATAGGAAGAGTGAATTGGGTTTACCGGAGGAGTTTGATTTCAAGTTGTTTAGTGCTATTGGTAGGTATTTGAGTTTATTACAGGGTGAGGATGGTGGCGGTGCTGAAACTGACCCGGATTCTGACCCGGAAGCCCAGCGGGCTCAAGGAAACAATTCTTTCTTGGAAATTGGTACTATTTCTGCTCTCGAATTTATTCTTGCTTTTTTAATTGAATCTTATTATATAGTTTAGTTGACATTTGAGTTCAAACTACTGTGTGAATAATTGTTGTTTAATTAACATCTGAAATTAATCAGGATTTCTCACTAGTTCTTATTTGGAAAATTTGGAGATATTAGATGTTGTACTAAAATACATCAATTTATAACGAATGTCGCAGGAGAAATCTTTTCAGAAGCAAAACCAATGTGGATTGAGGTTTCTCGTAGGAACACTTGGAGCGTACTCAAATCTAGATTAAGACACTCATAGGTCAAAGTTGATACCAAAACAAAAAATTAGATTTTTAAAAAATGAAGATTATGAAGCTGGATAAACTTTATCCCACAAAATTTGAATTAAAACGATTGAACTATTTGATGGTTTCTATCTCAATAAGCTTTTTGATGGCCTTAGATGGTGTAAAATGTGGTTAATGACTAACTTAAGCCTAGATTGTGATTATCTCAAGCGTGAACATGTTTATAATGATATGAACTGATAACTGAAACTCAAAGGAACAGAGTTTAAAGTGGAGGGATAAAAACTTTTGGGGAAGCAATTTCTTCGGACAGAAGAAGATTATGTAAACACTTACTCGAGATCTCACTTATCAGATTCCATTGTGGAAGAAACA